TGAGTTTTAATTTAATATATCCTGAGAGTGTTTATTTGGTCTAGAATAAGTATAAATTGTCCAAATGAGACCTTAAATGATGTTGAAAATTGTCCACATCTGAACTAGTTTTCAACCTTGAAAGGAGCTTCCGTGAACGTTCATTACAGAACACCTAAAAAAAGTCGTAAAAACTTTCATTCTGGCTCCTCAGTGGACGTCTTTTCAATGCACGTCTTTGTGACAAAGACGTTGAAAAGATGTCTTTTGGACATAATTTTGCTTAGTGGGTTTATTAATATTGTGATGATATGGGGTGATTACGTTTGCTCTTGAAAGATATTTAAACTGTAGCTTAATTAACAGTAATGTGATGACCAATCAGGTACAGGCAAGGACAATTGCAATTGGTTTATTGTAATGCATCCTTTGAACCAGAAAAATACAACACTCATGCTAGAGTAGATCATGATATTTAAGTACCCACACTCTATGGCATTGTCATGGTAGACTTCACTCTGGTCACATGTTCTAGTCACAGTATCCATCTTGTATCCACCACCTTTAGCAACAAAAGTACAATTTGGACTTTGTGTCTTATCTCTTCTACCTGTCTGCTAATATTCATCTCATTTCCTATTTGTCTGACCAAACTCTTGTTTCTTTTTTGTCTCCACCAATAGAGTCGGGCTGAAACAGAGGTGCACGCTGAGCTTGGCAGTTGCCCACTGAAAATTTACATGTGCCATCACCCCGACACGATTGGGATTATCATATAAGGACAGCCCGTGGTCAGAGGTGTGCCAAACCTGTCGAAAGCATGCTGCCTCCTGTTTGAACTTACCTATGCTCTCGACCTCAAGTATCCCTCAAAACTGGTGTATACTTGAGATATATCAGAGGCTTTTTGTAGGATTGGACCCTGTGCGTCCTAAACCATCATCATGTCATTTTTGACATTGCAGTTCCAGTGTGATACAATGTGATGTTATGGCTCACATTTACCTTGATCCAAACATTTCAGATTGGGCAGTTTGGATATTTCACTGTACTGTTCAGAACAGGTTGAAAATACACTTCTACAGTGTTTGTTTTATATTAGAGTGTACATGTGCGGCCACATTTATTTGCTGTTTTGTAGTCACTGTTAAAAGTGACACTGGTTGACATTGAATAAATTATATATTGTTTTCAATCTATCTTCTCATCTTTTTCTTCTTCAATTGAATTTGTAATTGTTATTGACAATTAAAAAAAAAATATTAAAATGTTTATTCACATATGATTAAGTTAATTTTACTAAGAAAACAAAGTTCATAAAACCTAATTAAAATGAGTACAGGTTACTTGTAGCAACTCATAAATAAGTTACCTGTACCAATAAAAGTAGGTTTATCTAACTGAGTAATACTAGTACTATTAGTTAACTCAACTTGATTTTGTTGCGTTTGTATAAAGTAATGTTAAAGTGTTCAATATACTTAAAAAAGGCTGCAAGTTGAATCAACATAAAACATCCAATGCAGCCACTTGCCTCACTTTTTATAAGTTAGATCTAGGTATTACTTTTTACAGTGTACTCCAGAGCTTTACTATAAATTACTACCACTTATCATATTGTTAGAAATGGCTTGTAAATGTAGTTATACTTTTATTTATTTGGTATCTTGCACATTATTTGGTATCAAATATCCTCTTTACTTGTCATAATGTTTACTGGTAATTTGTTACCCTAGAGCTGTCCTTTTTATATGAAAACTTATTGTAAGTGTTGTAATTGCAGCCTTTTGAATCCAAAATTGAATTGGAAACCTGCATGTTAGTATATTGATTTATTTATTTTTCTGTTATGTTTCAGTGATCTGAAACATCTTGTTTAAATGACAGTTACTGTACTTTGAAACGTGGAATAAAAATGCCAATTGTAAATTTGTCTGGTTTGAGCAATCATTATTCTTGATAAACTGCATGCTATAAATAATATATATATATATATATATCTAGCCAGAATAAGCGGCGGCAGAGCGCTCGAAAATAGCGTTTGCCTCCGGCGGGCCGCGGAAGGACGGCCTTCAATATAAAGCGCGGCGGAACGGCGGTTGGCCCGCGGGCCGGCCGCTTAACGAAGGCGGTAGGAAGCCGGCTGCCGCTTTTAAAAAGCGGCTGCCGCCGGCGGTGCGCCGTCCAACGTGTTTGCGATGTCGCCATTCTGACGCTTCTACTGCCGCCGGAGAACCGACGGTGGTCCGCCGACTCATTGCTATCTGGGATGGACCAAACTCCCTGAGGAATGCTTCCAGCACCTTGTTGAATCTATGCCACGAAGAATTGAGGCAGTTCTGAAGGCAAAAGGGGGTCCAACCCGTTACTAGCATGGGGTACCTAATAAAGTGGCCGGTGAGTGTAGTTATTACATTGCAAATTTGAATTGTGTGGGGATCTGTGCGTCAGACATCAACTATTCACTTTCTGTTGTATATTCCAGTTGTTTCTGGTACATATTCCCAAATTGCCCACTGAAGCTAAGTAAGGTTAATCCTGGTCAGTACCTGGATGGGAGACCTCCTGGGAAACTAGGGGCCAGATTTACTAACAGCTTGCGCCAGCGCAAATCAAATCCTCTTTTCGCGTTAAAAAATCTACTGTTGTGATTTACTAAAGACCCAGTGAAATAATAGCGTTGAAAAGGCGCGGACAGGGTTATTTTTGCGGCTGACCTTACTGCATATGGATTTGTTGGAGTTTCCCTTTCAGACGCAAATTTATGGGAGGAGAGTATTTAAATGAATCATGCAAGGAGATTTACTAAGGTTTGCGCTAGTCAATTTACTGGTATTTGCGCCATTATTTAAAGGCCAAAAAAGAGCATGTCTTAAACCAAATGCTAATTTGCGCTGCTCTTGGTAGATTAAGTAGTATATTAATGATCTGGCTGCGTCTGTGTTCTTTAATAAGCGTGTCGTGAGTAGATCACATAGAGAACTTTCCGCTCCCTTCAGCGCTTTTATGGAATGGAATCCGCTCTCACGCTAATTTGCCCTGTTTAGTAAATCTGGCCCCAGGTCACTGCTGGAAGAGGTGTTAATGAGGCCAGCAGGGGGTGCTCACCCTAGTGGGGCTTTAGATGTTGGGGACATCTAAATGTTGGGGACACTATACTGTAAAAAAAAACACCGTTCTTTGGATGAGACGTTAAACCGAGGTCCTGACTCACTGTGGTTATGCCATAAAAGAGTAGGGGTGTAAGCCCAGTGTCCTGGCTAAATTCCCTCCATTGGCTCATTATCAATCATGGCATCCTAATAGTCCTCATCCATTGAATTGGGTTTATCACTCTTAGGCCCCATTTACACTGCATGGTTCAAGTGACCCAAATCTGATTTTTTTCTCTCTCATGTGGCACAGATCGGATATGACCAATGAACGTGTAAGCAGGAAAAAAACGCATGGATTCCGATTTTCTCAGATCGGATTCAGGCCTCACTCATTTAAAGCGGTTTAAAGCGCTCGTGGCTACAGTGCCACCGTAAGATAAAAAGCTTAATGACTTTTACAAATATTGTGGAAAGCAAAACACTGGATAATTTTATTCGCATCTGCATCCATTGTATTTTGTGCTGTTTTACTTCCTTTTCCGGGTCAGAACGTCTACATTTGGTATTTCAGCAGTGTATAGTGTAAATGCAAAAATCAGATATGGGTCACTTTTAAAAGATGATGTAAGCGGGTCGTCAAAAAAAATCGGATATAGTCAGAAAATCGGATTTGGGCATCAAGACCTGCACTGTAAATGCAGCCTTAATCATCTCCTCAACATATAACTGTGTGGTGAGCGCACTGTGACTTCTGTTGCATCATCCAAGTGGATGCTGTAAACTGGTGAGGGGTGATAAGAGACCCCTGATATGATTGTAAAGCGCTTTGGGTATAGAATAATACATAATAAAGTGCAATATAAATGCTTCATTCATTCATGTTAATTATTCTTTAAGAACTAACACTAATTATTTGGTTAGGCCAACTGGTATGCAAATAGTTACTAATGTCTATTCCAGTTTCATTGAAGTATACTCATTAAATAATGTTGCTTATAGATATCTCATAAATAGCTACTGTAAAAAAATATTTTCATGATTTTCAAATCAATTTAGATAATTTACGTGGTTCAGATAACATAATATTTTGGGTTTCTGTTGATTAAACCATCTCCATTGTATTAACTATTTTTTATTATTATTTCAATGAACTTAAAATTTGAAGGCAACTAGGTTACTTTAAGTTAATCCAACAATGATTTTTTTACAGTGTAGCAATTGAAAATAATGCTAATTATAGTATTAATAAGTATAATAAGTAATAAATGTTAAAACAGCTTGCCATATCATATCAGTCACTTGATGAAAAACAATGCTTCACTGACTATGAATTTTAGAAATACCATTGAGTTAACAGTTTAGCCCCTTGAGTATTTATATTTATCATGACTGAGTGGTTCTAACTTAAGTCCCGGTCTAAAGGTTATTGTGTGGAAGGGTTCAAATTATTAATGCATGTAAAAATCATCTTGTGTTTCCACAGGGAAAAATACGTCAGTCAGACAATAAATGCAACCGAATAAAACAACTTTAGTAACCAACATGCGCTTGGGAGCATTTCAGCACCATGGACAGTGGACTTTTTTTTTTTTTTTCTTATTCTTTTTCTTCACAAAATGACTCTTTATTACTGAGGGATGTCAGATGACCAACTGAGACTTCAGATTGGGGGAAATTGTGTACAGTGCTATTATACAGCAGTGATTACTTTCTTTTACAGACAGAATCAGATTTTTTTTTTGTGTGTGTGAAAAGGTGCCAATCTTCCTAAATCTACATTGCTGTGTTGGCAAGTTCTAATGTATAAAGTTCAGACTTTCAGGAGGTCTCATATTACAACAGCTCACAGAATAAAACTAATAAATAAGACATTACCACAATTAGAATCTAAGCCTAGTGATGGTGCAAAAAAAATGCAACAAAGTGTCACAGTTGCTGAGAGGAAGTAATAGGTTCTGAGTGTTCATGGTAGGTATTCTGTGAGGAAATGGCTTCGGTCCATAACTCTGTGGAGTTGCTGAAAGTTTGGTTGAAGTTTGAGTGTCTGAATAAAGGATCATGAAACACACCATCAACCCAGTTTCTCAGTGTGGCCACTGGAGACTCTTGTTTCCTCTTTATTATGTCGGAGTCTGAGTCACAGTTTGAAGAAGAGCACGACGTTCCTTTATGCATGCATGAGGAGTAATCGGCTTGGTTTAATGACGTAGCAGTCTGTGCAAGAGACCAGATTTTTGGCTTGGTCTCAATAGTCTTTTGGCCTTGTTGAAGGTAGAACTTTGCCGTTTGGTGGTCTTCAGCAGTTGGTCTTAGGCGGTCTTCACTAAATTCATGGACGTCTCTGGGAAGCTCGGTAACGTTTTCTTTAAAGCGGTTATCTGTACATTCGCTGGTCTCTGAGCGAGCGCGCATGACAAAGGATGGTTTCGATTCGCACTCGGAGCCATCTGATTCCACTAGATCGAAATCGTCCAGATCGCTGTGAAGTTGATCTTTATCATCCTTTCCTTGGTTGTCTGGAGGTATAAAACGAATTTTTAAGCAGGTTATAACTGAATATAACGTTAAATCTGCAGTTAACTGTAACTGCAGCATGCAAATTCTGGGTGGTAGGTGTAGGTCTATTCTTTTGACGTATTACTAGCAAAAGTTGTTGCAGAAAAGACACTCACTGAAGGTGGTAACCAATTCACTGATCTAGATCTAGATCACTACATATCACTGATAGAATTACAAAAGCGTTGTTTTTATTTAAAATGGGGTGGTGATGGCGCAGTGGATAAGACACATGCCTTTGGTGTGAGAGACCCGGGTTCGCATCCACTGTGAGACACCAATGTGTCCCTGAGCAAGACACTTAACCCCTAGTTGCTCCAGAGGCGTGCGACCTCTGACATATATAGCAATTGTAAGTCGCTTTGGATAAAAGCGTCAGCTAAATGAATAAATGTAAATGTAAATGTAAAACAACTACCAAACATTACCTAACTGTATCGTTACACTGGCTATATGACCAATATTTGCTTTTCAAACCAAGAATGACATTACAAAATCTTTCAACAAACCATTGAAATCTCTTTCGGTTTTTATTGCCTCGCCCTGCGATTCGTCCACATCTTCTTGGTCGTCACACTCCTTCTCATCTGAGGTCTTGTTGCGCGGCGACCACGTCATTTTATTTTCCTTCTTGAGTCTCCGGCGTGCGTTGGCAAACCAGGTGGAAACCTGCGTAAGGGTCATCTTAGTGATGATGGCCAGCATGATCTTCTCACCCTTGGTGGGGTACGGGTTCTTTTTATGTTCCTGCAGCCATGCTTTCAGTGTGCTGGTGGTCTCTCTGGTAGCATTTTTTCTTCTTGTGCTCACATCTACAGATCCATATCTAAACAACATGACAAGTAGTCCATAAGTTGGATGCACAATAGCTGTATTTGAAAATTTCTCTTGAATAACAAAAAGGAGGTGATAATTCTTACCCATATCTGTCATACTGGTACTGACCAATTGGGTAGTCGTAATGGTAATATGCAGAGCTTTGGGTAACTCTTGAATGTCCAGTTGGCACTCCATCTTTCTCACTGAGTTTACCCTAATATAAAGCAAAAATGCAAAATAATCACAAAAGAGGTCAGTGAGGATTCCAAAACCTTTCTAGACAGTGCAGGTAACATGCACATCTATTGTTATTGAAATGAATAAATGAAATGCGTACCAGAGGATAGCATGAGGTTGAATCTGGACCGTAAGTGCTGTAGGTATCATAACTGTGACTCTTTGAACAGGAGTTTCCATAGACAGCAGTGGGGATCAGGTCATGCCGGCTGGAGGCCACAAGCCTACTTTCATATACCGGGCAGTAAAGTGAGTTTTGAGGAGAAGTTGCCACTCCAGTGTCCAGCAGAGAACCATTAGACTCATAGCAGGCGCTCAGAGCGTTAGAAGACATTAAAAGCTGTCAACGAAAGGACGAACAGGCTAAAGCACGTCCTTGAAAAATATGAAACACTTTACACAGCCTTTAGATTATTAATGATTTTAAATGAGTTAAAAGAACTTTAGTTTCCAGTGCTATCTACATTTACAGATATATCTGTGTTAGAAAACAATACTGTTACATTGCAATCAAGGGATTCTTCACTTCTGACTACATAAAATCTTGGAAAAGGACACTTCTGCAATACATGTTTATTTATCTTCAAACATTTAACATGGCCTTATGGATATTGAATAATGTTAGATTGTGTCCAATTTTTTTTCCAATCATTTTAATATTGAGGGCAATGATGTTGGATAATGAATTATTTCTCTTTTTAACAACATGTTAGCCAGTAGTAAATTACATAATACATGTATAGAAAAAAACTAAAACAAATAAATGTAATAAAGATAAAAAAATAAAGGTTCTTTATTGGCATGGTTCCATGAAGATCCTTAAACATCCATTGAACTTTTCCATTGCACATAATGAAAAATGGTTGTTTAGATTATTAGCCTTATGTTCTTCATAATAAAATAACTGTTATTTTAAAAACTGTTTACTGTAAGGTGCTTTGGAGAACCAAAAACGGTTATTTTATGGCATCACTTCAAAACCCCCTTTTGGAACCTTTATTTTTAAGACTGATTAGCAATGATATCTACTAAAAACTACTTTCAGATCTTCAATCTTAAAATTAATCACATTTATGATCTTCAAATCTATCATTGTGCCGTTTTTGGCAACGATATGCCTCCCTGCCACTTCTCATTTCCATGTGATCATTTGAAAAATAATGAAATATAAATTCAACAAAAATATTAAATTAAATATATAGTTCAAAGGAAAAGGTTATCTGAATTTCCCTGATTTTAGCAGTTTTTTATAAATGCATTATAAAGGCAAAGTTAAAATATCTGCAAGAGGGACAAGCCCAAAATAGAGACATTGGCAGGTGTAACCTTTCAACACTCATAAAAATAAGTCGAAAGTATTTTTAAAAAGTAATTAATGTACACAATAAAAGTTTAAAGGTTTTATAATCTACATAGTATACCTACTTAAGCATTTTTTCATCAATGTCCCCTAACTGAAGGATCACACAAATACATTTAATTAATTGGGAACATTCACAATTAATCATAATATTAACATCCAGCACGTATGACACATTTTGGCACACTAAAGTGAGGTGTGGAAGTGTCCAAAAAAAAAAGTTACCTGTGGTGCTGCAGGATATGAATAGCCAAACTGTGTAAATGACATGATGAGTGTCCAGCACAGAGAAAGCTGCAGTCCCGCTGCGGGTCATCAGTCCATCAAGAAAATCGTCCATTAACTGCAGGTAAACGTCCCTTTCTGGTTTCTGTTTGTCTTTCATACAAATACCAGTAAAAATAGCAGAAACTGCAGTAGGACACGAATTCAATGTGGTGCAGCCGTAAAGCTGAAGTTGAAAAAAATCATAACAAATGTTGGCTCAGTTGCACGTTGTTTTAAACACCGGTGACGCTGACGTCACAGGATCAGATTTAAAGGTCCAGATAACAAACGCGAATCACGGAAAAAGTTGTTGTTCACACAGCGGAACACTTTATAGCCGCTGTATAACTTGAGAGTCAAACGATGCGCTTGTGTCCTCGTGAGGAGCCCGCGGGGTCTCGCTCACATTAATGAGGACGTGTTCAGTTTCCCTGCCCGCCAGCAGCCAATCACACATCTGACTCAGTGCACAGACAGCTCGATTGCACATGATTGATGACCGCCCAGGAACGATTACCATAATTGCCTTTCTATGTAGTTATCAAACACCTTTTGTACCATTAAATAACATCGGATTTGTTGAAAGAATAATCTCTGAATTATAAAACCTACATACAAAAAATAACAGTCTAAGATCGATATCTATCAAAATAGCCTATAGGGCCAGTTGCTACAGTGCTGTGAAAAATATGTATTACGTCAACAAAAACAGACTGGTAAATATTTTAAATTATGTTAACTGCAGGAGAGAAAAAACTTCACTTTCACTATAGCAAAGAGAGTTAGATTTGTGTGACATCTTAAAATAAAGTTCTCTCAAAAGTACCTGAAAGAAAAACACACAAATTAAATGGTAGGCCTACATTTGGTAATCTACAAAAGTGGCATTAAAATTAAATGTATTTATAATTACCTTTATCTTCTTCGAAGCATTGCTACTTAAAACAATAGTTTATTTCTTCTTCAGAAGTGAACCATTGAACTTTGAGGATGAAAAAATATGTAAAACATGTTTTGTCTTGTAATCTTAAAAACTATTATTTGATATGACTAAATCAACCCACATTATAAAAAAAAAACACAAATAAAAGTTATTTTAAGGGTCAGATCACATAGAAATGGTTTCTAACTGGACAGTTTGGTGAAGCTCTGTCTTGAGTGATGAATTTATTCTCTTTCTGTGAAGATCTTTTTCATTTAATAACTCTTTTAAAACCCAAAAGTGACACTGTGCAGTTGCAGCACAGTCACATCTCGGTCCCGTATATATATATTTTTGGATATCAATCAATCCTTTATCACATACAGTACCTTAAATGTGTCTCTCAGCCACCTCTGCACTCTTTCTTCATTGTGGCTAAGAGGTTTGGCTTGCCAGAGTTCATTTAATATGTATAATGCATGAGGGCACTTCAGTGCATTTACTTAACACTTTGTTCCTGAGGTCCAGAAGTCTTTTCATTAGAGATTGAAACAGTGATAGACATCCCCCGTTTGAAAGCACTGTAACCACCTCAGTGTTCAGAATTTTTTTTTTTTTTTTTTTTTTTGCCTGTAGGTAACAGCAAATGTAACATAATTGATTACAATGTTGAGGTACCGCACCTGTGTAAAGAAGCCAGAAGATCTTATTTATGTTATGCATGATTATGGCACAACATTTGTTTTTTTATCTTCTGTTTTTTCTATTTGGAAATTAATGTATAGCCTTTTTATGCAAAAAAAAAAAAAAAGTCTTAAAACCAGTTAGGGTTTTTAGCATCATTAACAAGGCTCAACACAACCTCTTTTGCTATTGAGTCCAAAAGTGAAAAAGACAGTAATTAAAAATAAATAGCAGAAAAACACTTTTGTTTGCGCGGTGCATATGAATGAATAGTTGATGCGCAGAAGACCCGTTGAAGGAAAAACCATAAAGCATTGTATAAAGCATTTCACCAGCTCGAGAACAAAAAGCAAACAACAAATAATCCATTTGCCAATAGCAGCATTTGGCGAATTTATTTAAATTTGCAGTGATAGCATCACTTACAGTACTTTCGTCATTATAGTAAATATCAGTATAACAAAGCTTTTATGTATAATGCATTATAAAAGTATTTTAATGCATTATATGGCACCGTATAATACATTGTAAAGTCTCATGAATAATTGTAACCACAGTTATTATAATACATTATAATACTTATCTAATCATTGAACACACCTTTAGAAAGTAAATGCATTAAAAAATATGACAAACAACCCATTTCAGAATCTGCAAATATTATAATGCATTTCAAATTTGGTTACAATAATTAATGAAAAGATATAATGCATTATAACGTACATTATGAACACCTTTAAAATGGATTATACGTAAAGGCTTTAAGTAAAGTGTTACCTAAATCGATGAGCCCAGCATTCATATCCAAGTATATCTTTTAGTTGTAAAATTGGTAAGTAATTATTATAAACCATATACAAAATCAATTACAGAAATATTACTAAGAAATTATTATTTAGAATTTATTATTTATTCAAGAAATATTACACTTTTAAGAATAAAGGTTCCAAAAGGGGGGTTTCACATAGAAAAAACATTTCAGTGAGCAGTTTTTTTACAATAATAATGTTCTGGTTATTCCTGGAGTCATATGCCAATACAAAAAAAAAGCGTACTTTATACAAAAATGATCTTGAAATATAGCTGAGATATTTACCTCAGGTATATACTCTCAACTTCAAGAAAATCATCATGTTCCACAAGCAAAAGTGTTAATACACGAGAAGCTGAGTGGATTGACAAAACAAAACAATGAATGGAAAAAAGTGCTGCCCGGGGTGTAGAATCCATATCCCAGTGCTCTTTGGGAGTAGGGATAGTTTAACTCATAAAAACATATCTAGCCAAGGCACTAGTGAGTCTATGGAAAATTATAAAAAGCTTTTATTCAATCATGGCTCAGGCATATTGAATTGACAAAACATGTTTGTATCTCTCCGATGCCCCCATCTGATGTAGATCAGAATGAAACTGGCAGACTGTGGGACGTCCAAGCTCTTCAGCTGTTTAAATGGAGCTCCTGGATGGACAGCTGCTTGATAGAGTTACATCATAATCTACTCAAATGCTTGTCTCAATGATTGAGGCTGTGGAAGATGAATGTGTGGAAACGGGTGTGTTTACATAGATGAAGAGACCATCATTCACTGTTACAGGCAAATACAAATTGCCAGTCCTTTGACTGACAGGTTTTTTGTTAGACTGGAGAAGCAGCACATGAGCAAAAGCTTTATTTCCATTCCAAACTCCAAACACAGACAACAGTGCTTGTTCAATATATGAGCATTCTTTTCATGAAACAAATTAAATGTCATTCATGTGAGTGAACACTCTTTCTTCAGTCTCCAGGGACGGTGACAGTGGGGCTCTGCTGTCTGAAACTGACTTACCTTCAAAACAAGAACGGTATGAATCTCCACACGATTGACCTTCAACCTCCGGCCACTTCCTTCCACTCTCCATCTTTCAATTTTTATAACACTTAGCAGTGTCCAAAACCTTCCCTCTCAATCTCTATCCTGCTTGCTCTTGTGGGTTTTTTTTTTTTTTTTTTGGTCCGGATGGTCCAGGTGGGACCTGCTGCATGCTCTCAGGCAGACTATTGGTTCATCCAGGCAGAAAATGGAGGGTTGGGGGGGAGGACGGGACAGGAAATGGAATGGGAGTTGACTCTCTTCTCACACACTTTAGCCCTGAAGAGCTGCACCTTGGGGACCACTGTCAAGTGATCTCTGACACTTCATTCCCTCTCTACACAAGAACCCTCTCTGACAGAAACAAGCAGGGAAGAACTCAACGGAGTCTAAGCACAGTTCAGCACAGAAACAGTGCTTGAAGAGAAGACCTGATAGAGCTGCAAGTGCTGTAACATGTAAAAGGTCTTTGGTGAGATCAACATGCATTCCTAAAATTATTAGTTAATTTCAATATATTAAATGTCAGGGTCTGACTCTCAAGCTATTATGGACATCAGTGCCGTACAGTAAAGTTTGCATACTAAAAGTTTGCAGCATAGCTTTTCCAGTAACAAACCAATCATTCTGCCATAAACAACTCTTTTACATATGCAACACAGGAAAGTCAGAGTCAATCTAGTGAATCAGTTCGTCATAAATGACTCTCTCGAATGTAATGCTGGAAGGTTTGATTCCTTCTGTTGAATCGGTAAAGTTTGATTCTAGTGAACCTGTCATCTCTGTCTCTCTATTATGGAAAGTTAGAATAAGTTTAGTGAATCGGTTCATCATAAACATCTCTTTCTTTTAGAACCACTATCGTCAAATACGATTGACAATTAGCATACAGTTTCGATTGGCGGTATGGTTCCGTTCTGGGCGAGAACTCCCTGCGCATCCATGCAGCCTAGCATGGGGAGCAGCAATAACCCCCTTAGGGTAAACAGAACAGAACCAACATGAATGTATGCAGATATCGTTAATTCAAGATTTTAAAGTACTACATAATTCGAGAATTTATTCTGATTCAAGGGGAATAAGAATGCCAAATCCTGACTGGGCGAGAGGAGGAGCTGGGGATGGAGGAGGGTAATTAGCTCCTGAGAAACGCGATAGCTGCTGATAATACTGAAGAGCTTATATATGTATACAGTGATAGGCGTCATATTCCTATAGGTAGACGTGGATGAGCCGAGAGTCAGCTGATGCGAGCTTGAACGTGACCTGACAGAACTGACGCTACGCTTGATTTCTCTGTATTATGTTGGGCTGGAAATTTTAATTTATTTTTACTGAATCAGTTCATCTTGAATGGCTCTTTCTCTCTTACAAGTAGTGCTTGAAAGTTTGATTCATTCTAGTGAATCAGTTTTTTATAAATGGCTCTCTCTGGTATGTAACACTCAAAAGTCTGATTCATTAGTCAATTGTTTCATCATAAAAGTCTCTCTCATATATAGTGCTGGAAAATCTGATTCATCTTAATGAATGGGCTCTCCTGAACTACTCTCGCTCTCTATTATGTTAAGTTGGAAAGTTTGATTCATTCTACTGAACTGGTCCGTCCTAAACATCTCTCTCACTCTCTTTCTCATATGTAGTGCTGGGATGTTTGATTCATCCTAATGAATCAGCTCATCCAGAACTACTCTCTCTCATGTCATATTGGAAAGTTTGATTCATTCTGAATCGGTTCATGATTCTAAATGGCTCTTTCTCTAATATCGTCAATGTCATGCGGAAACCTTGTATCTCCAAAAGCACAGCTTTTCAGGAAATGGGAAAAACATTATTTAATAAAAAAAAAGTTTATATTTAACTTTATAGATGGTCAGTTTTTGACTTGCATTCCAAATAACACGGAATTAATATTAATTAATTAATGTCAATTAATATAAAAATATGGAATTTGTCGTTTATTGTCTATGTGTAATGTGTTGTTTACCTTTGTGTTGTTCAAGCCATCTCCTGCGTTTATAATAAAAGACTGTAGTATTCCTCGTTTGTGCATGTTGCTTACTCATTACAGATTAGCCAACCAAAAAAGAGAAATATAAATGGACTTACCAGCACTGCGTCTTCTCCTCTGTGAGCAGAGGACTTTGGTGGAATACCTGGG